TCTCATTTTGCTTCTTCAACAGTCTTCTGGTAATTACGCCAACAGTCCTTTAGGATTTGAAACGAGACCTGCAGTCCATCCTTCTTCCAACGACGCTCCGCTTTGTGGCAGGTTTGTCTAGCCGCATGAGTTTTAGTACCAAACCAGGGTTTGGCCTCGTCCTACGTTGCAGAGTTTTCAACGGGGCCGCCAAGTCCATTATGGAGCGACAAGAAATCAAACCACCACTGCATCACCAGCGGCCACATCCGACTGGGCAACAGCCTGGTCAAACGCAGCAACAAACAGGCCAGCAGTGGAAGAGTTAAGCATCCGGCAATGCTGAGCAGGCACACATACTGCACCTACTGCACCGGAAAGACCAGCCTTGAACACAATAGGCATATGATCAGAAAAAACATTTATACATATATCTAGGTTTAACACAGGCACACCATAAGAAAGAACAAGATCCAACATATGTCCCTGCTCATGTGTGGGCCCAGACACATATTGCACTAAATCAAAAGCATCAATAGTAGCTAAAAATTCTTTCACCAGTGGTTTATCTGGGCAACACACATGTATATTAAAATTTCCTAATAAAAGAATATAATCATAATAAGGCATAATACCAGTCACAAAATCTGAAAAATCATCCAGAAAATTCTTGTTATATTTAGGTGGCCTATAGAAAACAGCACACAGTACAGGGTCAGACCGACCCACTTCAAATAAAGTCAGTTCAAAACTGGAGAATGATGGTAGTGGTAGTGTGCACCGTTTACCTATAAAATTGTTCTTAAAAACAAATGCTGTTCCTCCTCCACAACCAGACGACCGCGGCAAGTTAAAATAAGAACATCCAGCCTGCAAGAGTTCAGCAAAAGTACTAAACTCACCAGCATCAACCCATGTCTGTCAAAAAAAAAGAAAATCCAAATCCTGGGAACTAAAAAAAATCCCTCAAGATAAAAGTTTTATTCTTTAACAACCGAGCATTCACCAGGCCAATCCTTACCAGGTCCTGGGCCTGTGACACTGACGGCCGAGGAACCAGTCGAAGTGTCTTCAAAACACGACAATCCACCCCACGCCGTCAAATCCGAGCAAGGCAGGGCCTAACAGGCCGGGGACCTCCATTGCCACCCACAACAGGCACCAAACAGACATCGACAGGATCCAAAAAACATCGAGACACCACAAAGGGAGAATATAGTCTCCAATCCGTCCAAAGAAAGGAAGGTGAGTATATCAGACGAGTTTTCAGCTTCACTAGCTGACCACTATGCCTACCCCAACGACGGGGACATTTCCACCAGGGAAGTAAACCCGGAACCTGAAAAATATGGGCCAGAATCCCCGACAAAACCGGAGGAACAGTCTTATGCCCATCACGATCAAATATATATAAATTACCAACTTTAAATTGAAGATCCAAAAGAAATTGGGGATCATACACCAGCAAAGACTCAGTCCGTAGACGTCCAATAACTAAAATTAAGACAAACATCAGCCAAAGGAAGAACATCAGACGAGCACACACTGGCACCATCTTGTCCATCCCTCCTCAAAACCCAAATGAAAATGTCTACTGACTAGAAGAAGGAGAGGAGGCAGAAGGATTCGTAGAGAGACAAGAGGAAAGGCAGGAGTATAGGTCTGAGAATAGGGACTCTTAACGTTGGGACAATGACGGGGAAAGGTAGAGAGCTGGCATCCATGATGGAGAGAAGGAGGGTAGATATACTGTGTGTGCAGGAGACCAGGTGGAAGGGTAGCAAAGCGCATAGCATTGGAGGGGGATACAAACTGTTTTATTATAGTGTGGACAGGAAGAGAAATGGGGTAGGAGTGATCCTGAAGGAGCTGGTGAGGAATGTTTTAGAGGTGAAAAGAGTGTCTGACAGGGTGATCAGTTTGAAGTTGGAAATTGAAGAGGTAATGTTGAATGTAGTCAGTGGTTATGCTCCACAAGTAGGGGCTGAGTTAGAAGAGAAGGAGAGATTCTGGAGTGAGTTAGATGAGGTGATGGAGAGTATTCCCAGATGGGAGAGAGTGGTGATTGGGGCAGACTTCAACGGGCACAAAGGTGATGAGGAGGTGATGGGCAGGTTTGGTGTTAAGGGAAGGAACCTAGAAGGACAGATGGTGGTAGACTTTGTTAAGAGGATGGAAATGGCTGTAGTTAACACCCATTTCCAGAAGAGGAAGGAACATAGAGTTACATATAAGAGTGGAGGTAGGAGTACGCAGGTAGACTACATTCTATGTAGACGAGGCAATCTGAGAGAGATTAGTGACTGCAAAGTGATGGTAGGAGAGAGTGTAGCCAAACAGCATCAGATGGTGGTGTGTAGGATGACTCTGGTGGTCAGGAAGAAGAGGAGAGGAAAGACAGAAAAGAAAACCAAGTGGTGGAAGTTGGAAAAGGAAGAATGTCGTGAGGAATTCAGACAGAAGTTGAGACAGGCTTTGGGTGGTCAGGAAGAACTTCCAGATGACTGGGAAACTACAGCAGAAGTGATCAGGGAGACAGGTAGGAAGGTGCTAGGTGTGTCATCTGGAAGGAGGAAAGAAGATAAGGAAACATGGTGGTGGAACAAGGAAGTACAGGACAGCATTCAGAGGAAGAGGCTAGCTAAAAAGAAGTGGGA